CCACAGAAACTCAATTCTTGGCCCTTATGTGTGGCCAGTACACATTACCATAGGCAAGAGACAATCGACCCAAAGGGGAGACAATACAGTCTAATGGAAGTAACAGGCTGCTAGATCAACAATGATTCACAGAAAACCAACCATGTTTTGGAAAGCTACATCCCATTCTTCAGGGCTAAAAATAATGCATGAATAATTAATATTCGCATAATATTTTTATAATTAGCCATCAGGCAGGAGGAGGCAGGTCCCCAAATCGTGTTAGTTTCCTGTAAATCTTCCAGTAAATGTATTCAGTAATTAGCTTTGATCAGTTCCTTCTTAAAGTATTCAGGGGCAGACGGGTGTTGTTTACGTACATTTGACAGTTTTTAGGGGTCTCTCAGGAGTCTCTCTGCTCTACAAAGGATTGAAAAGGAAGTATAAGCAACACCCTGCTTTTCAAATAATTGACACTTCATAATTTTCCCTGTATTGGAAAATATATGAATAGCTTTTTATTATAATTATTAAGTTGTACTTCTCTATTATTATCAGGGCTTGAAAAATCCGCTCGTCTGTGACGAGAGGACGGTGGAGCCCGACGAGCAACTTTACATTCAAGCGATTGGGTGTCTCTGGAGACGCCCGATCGCTTGTATTAGCAGCTGTCACTGCCGTTGCCGGTCCCGAGATCCACTGTGCCCGATGCGGCCGGGACCGGCACGGCTCTGTGACAGGAGATCAAAGGGAGTTCAGTATACGAACCGATCTCTGCTTCATCAGCTTCTCTGGGGGTCCCTAGGTGACATTAGGGGTCTTGGAGATCCCTGATGTCTCCATAAAGAGGACCTGTCATGTAAATTGGCTATCGCATAGGGGGCTTGTTAGCCCCCCATGTAATAACAATAAAGCTGTGTGTAAAAAAAAAAAAAGTAATACTAAAATTAAAGAATCATAAAAAAAATAAAGAAGCATAAAAAATTTTTTTTTTAAAGACATGTTTTTAAAGTCCCTGCCCCCCACATACACACGCTGATTCGGGTGTGCAGACGTGCGAAAATGACGATTGCGCCTATTGTGCTGCACATGTTAAATATCGCCGCAAACATCGGAGTGATAGCAATAATTTTAGAGCCATTAACCTCCCTCGCGGTCTGATTCTTCAGGATTTTAGCATCCAAAAGCGTTACATTGTTTTTCATGGAAATTTGTTGTTTTATATTGTAGGCCTGTAATTCTTAGTAAATCTTAGGACTGTTAACCCCGAGCCAGACTCGGGAAAGCCGCCAGGGAAGTTAATCACTGATAACACTAAACTGATGAGCAGTAAAAGCGTTCTAATCGTCGCCTATGGGGAGTTTTTTGCGATTTTGTGGGTGCACGCAATTTTAAGGCTTGACATGTTTGGTGTCTATTTACCCGCCGTGACCCCGAATTTTATGTTTTACTAAAAATATGGGTAATAATAAATGTTTTATAACATAACGTAGGTACACTTTGTTTTTTGTTTTTTACATTTATGGTACTTTTTTCATTATATAGTTAAAAAAATAACACCCCCCTTCCCCCCCGTGGTGATAATATACCTCTAAAAGAAAGCTCTATCTGTCCCCAACATTTTTTAACATAAATTGCAAGGCTATAGTCCGGTCATGCTGACTGGTGACATTTTTTTATTTTTTTTTAGCATGTAAATTTGTATTGAAAAGTTCTACTGCATACATACAATTCGTATAACAAGAGATAAAACAGCATCATAACTAATCATTGACCAACATAACTGGTGACATTTTTGACTGAGTGGTGAGACACCATCAAATTTTTCAAGCCCTGATTATTATTATTATTTTATTTATTACAAGGATTTATATAGCGCTGACAATGTATGCAGTGCTTTACATACGGCACATTTACATCAGTCACTGCCTTCAAGGAGCTTACAATCTAAGGTCCCTATTGTACATGCATACAGGATCAATTTTACAGCATTCTTAAAACAAGCTGCAAAACAAGTTGGTGGTTGTCGTGATAGGTCTCATATTATAGATTAAGCCTAATTCTCATGATCAAAACCGACCTACCACAACCATAACCTGTAAAAATGTATGCTGGACGGCACGCAAGTTTATTGTTGAGGTAACAAGGGCAGGATTCCCTTTTATTAATAATACTACTTACCTTTTAATTTTATTATCAGTGGTACATGATATAACATGTGAGAGAGAGCTCATTTAAAATACATAGAGTGTTTCAGTATTAAAGTTCTGATACTGTAATTTGATTACGTCCTTGAGGTTTACATTTGATAGACATTTCTCTTTTTGCATCTTAATATTCCTGCACAGCGGGGAAGAGAGAGCACTTAAGACAATACTCATTCTCTGATCGCGCTCATATAATTAGCTAGACTGCTTTTTATTTCCAGCAAATTAATACTAATAGGATAGAGTAGAAAATATGTAAATGGATTAGTATATTTTAGCACACCTTTAGTGCATTGGAGCAGAAATGAATGCTGTGTTCTGGCTGGAGCCAAGCTTACATCCAATGTGCAGTGCATTTTTACACCTTCCTCCCCTCTACCAGCACTTTGATCATAGCATATACAACATACAACATATACATAGCATATACAACATATACTTGCACATTCATGGTACAGTATGCCAGGCATTAAGATCTTAAACAATCCTCTGTAATATTTACATACACTAGATAGAATCAAGGTATTTAAAACAGAACTCAT